ATCTTCTGTAATGCTGTTTGCAGCTTCCCATGAGCCTGGAGAGCCTGATGTTTCTGTAGGTATTTATCGAAGCCTCCTTAGGCTTGTTTCCCAGAGCGGCTGGTTCTTCTCCCCATCTCTTCTTCCCATTGCAGGGCTGCTCTCTGTGTCCTCTCCTTGTCGGGCAAAATGCTGGAGACTGAGCAGAGCCAGAGGCTTTCCAGGGATGCCTTGTGCCTTCCTCCCTTGCAGACCAACTTGTTTCATTCTCTCCAGCTCTCCATCGCAGTGGGAGTAGAGGAAGCCCACGGAGAAACATTTCTGTTTCCCTTTGCCCTGTCACGGCCGCAGCTGTGGTCCTGCTGGTGTGTGAACCGTGAGTGACCTTTTTTTTGGTGCTTCCACTCTGGAAGAAATTACGTTTCCTGCAGGAAAGCAAGGGGCACGCTGAGGTGCAGCGATGGGGTTGCTGTTTTCCATTGCAGTTTCTCCTTTCCTGTGGGGTGCTGTCCTGGGTGCGACGGTTCCAGGGGTGGCCGGGAGGCTGCCCTCTCATTGCAACTTTTCTTTTGGTTTGTGCTTGACAATTTGAGGATTTTTAAGGGGAAAAGTTGGTTTGGAGGGAAGAGGAGATGAAAGGAATGGAGGAGACTCACTGGCTGTAAAACCTTATGGGGATTCCTCGTCCTGTCCTACCGCTAGCGGGAATTGCAGCTGCAGGTGTGGACACCACTCCAAGTGGCTGAATCTCCTTCAGTTTAATCCACCTGTGCCATTGAGCTGCATTGGAGCTTCACGGAGAGCTGATCAGACCAGAAGCTCCTAGCAGCTCAATCCCTTTCCCGTGCTGATACTAGAAAATCAATAAAAAACCCCCTCAGAGCACACATCCAGTCCTTACTGGGAGGGCTGGGTAGGGTCATGATGCTGCTTGAGAGGCAGAGGAGGGGAGCAAGCAGCAGCTTTGGGATGTTTTCAAAACCATCTGGCTGCAGGATGTGGGGAAGGTGTGAAATGCAGCGGTGCTGCCAGCTGCCCCAGTGCTGTCCCAGCTCTGCGGGAACAGCCCAGGCGTGCGGCTGCTTTGCATGGTGGGCGAAACGCAGCCGGATGATGCGGGGGGCTCTCCCAACCCACGGTGCTCCGTCAGTGAGCACCTTCTCTGCTGGGGAAAGGGGGTTACGCTGGCTTGGCTTCGGTCAGCCAAAGCAATGGGCTGGAGGTGAAGCAGGGGATGAAGCACGTTGTTTTCTCTCCCAGCTGTTCCTGGGCTGCAGGGAGGAAACTGCTTTGACCATTGGGGCATCACCTTGGCTGGTGGCACCACATGAAGGAACCTCATCAGAAGGACTCCCATGAGCCTCCAGATCACTGGAGAGTGGAGTATTGCCACAGGTGAGGATGCTCAAGTTTTACAGCTTCAGGACTCCCCAGCCCTGGGGCAAATCTCTGCTGGCTCTTGCATCTCCAAGCACCAGATGAGCGGTTTTGATGTGGGTTGGGCTTGTGGCAGGGTTTTGGGGATGAGGAGTGGGTTTGTAATTGTCGGCCGGTCTGAGCCCTTCCTGTGACCTCGAGTGACGCCATGGGAATTTTGCCCTGCTGCAGAGCTTCTGCCATCTGCTCCGGCTCACTTGGATGAGGAGTGCTTCTCTCTTTTCCTTCTTGATTTTTATACTTCAAACTTCCTTGAAAATGGAGGAAATGAAACCACAGGGCTTTTTTGTGAGTGGACATGGGAGAGCACAGTCTCTTTCCAGAGAAGAAATGAAATTTAGGGTGAAGACAGAAAAAATAGCTCCCCAGTCATTGGTGCTAGCTGCAGGAGTTTGGGGGCCACTTGGTCTGGTGGGTGGAGGTGACCCAGGCTGTGTTGTCCCTTGCTGGGGTGCTTGGTGTGCCGCAATAACATGGTTCATCTGCGGACTGCTGCAGAATGTCCCGTTGGCGCTGGTGCCTGGGACGTGGAGCATGGATGTTGCAGGGCAGTACCTGCTGATCCCACTGGACAGGGTCTTTTTGCAGGGCTGAATCCTTTCTCCATAGTTTTTAACCCTTTCCCAGCTATGTAAATCCAGGTAAACCATTTCCACCCTCAGTGGCTGGATTTGCTGGGGATTTGGGGGTGCATGAGGACATGGGGTGGGAAGGGAGATGGGGAGCAGGGGTAGATGGTGGTGAGGAGGAAGGGGGCCTCCCTGTTCATATTGCCTTGGAAATGTGGATTTTTGTCTCTCTCTGCCTTGGCAGTTGTGGGAAAAAACATTTATGCTGACTTTCACACAGGGATCAGCACTTGGTCCCTCCCTGTATCCGGATGGGTCTGACCTGCAACCTGGGTGCTGGGTTTGCCGAAATCCTGAGCAGCCCCAGGAGACCCAGAGGTTTGCAGACGGTGAGATCTGAGCATCCCGAATCTCACCTAGACAACGTGAGGGGCTGGGCGCTGGTGTCCCAAAGCGAGGACTCAACATCTGGGGCCATGTTCAATCTTGGCTTGGGATGCAACGGGAAGTAACAGCTCCACCTTCTTCCCTTGCGGGCAGCACATCCCCTGGCTTCTGTCGAAGCTCCTGTGCTGGGCGCTGGAGGCAAGCGTGGGACCAGAGGCATGCAATGGGGACACGTGCCATGCAGGGGAGTGCTGCCCAGCTGGGGACTTTTCTCCAGCCCCAGCAGGGTCGGTGGCACGGCTCTGCAGGCCAGAACCCCTCTGGGTCACTAGCTCTGCCACCTAAAACCCTCGCAGGGGTTTTGCTGCTGGAGCTGTGCAGAGGAATCACAGTGCAAGGGTTGTCCCCAGTGCTGGCTTGTCCCCAGGAGCAGCGGGAGAGCCAGGAGCTGCGTGGCCCTTGGCAGGGGCCGGTTCCCCCTGGCATCCCCCTCCCTGCCTGCCTGGCCCCTGCGGTTCCTCCTTGCTGGGGAGCTGTTTGCGAGTGCATGACCCGGGGTGTAAGTGCTGAGATCAGTAAGCGAAGTGCCTGGCCGCGCTCTCTGCCTCCATGTGACTGCAGTTTCCGTTAGCTCCTTCCGCAAAGGCTATATTAGCGCTAAGCGAGAAAGCAGGTGGGACAGAAACCCAGCGGGTCGCACCTACCCTTGGTCCCCAGAGCCCCCCGAGCGCAGCCGAGGGGCCGCTGGCCGCCGGGTGAGGTGCGGCAACACCTGCGCGCCGCCCCACGCGGTGAGTAACTGCCCCCCCCCAATAACCTTTGCTGGGGGGAAGACCCCGCCGCGGGTTTTTGGGGAGCCCTCCTTGCCAGCTTGCAGATCCGTGGCGGCCGTGCGTCGCAAGAGCTGCGGCTGTGTGGGCCGGTGCCAGGGCTGGTGTGTGCTGTGGGGAGCACCCCGGGCGCTCCTAGAGCTCTCACATGTGGGCTCCTCCGCAGGGCTGCGGGCAGGGGTTTCCTGCCGGTGCTGCTGCCCACTCTCCTGGCCGGGCAGGTACCAGCCCCAGGGAGGAGCGTGGGAGGATGTTGGGGGAGGCCAACGCTGGGCACGAAAGAAAGGCTGAGCTGGGTGAAGGACAGGGTGAGCTTCTGCAGAGGGGTTCAGGAGCCGAAGGCGAGCTGGAGATGAAGCCCCTGTTTTTTGGGTGCAGTGAGGACACAGCAGGGTCCCTCTGCTGCCACCGTGTCTGGGTGCAAGGCACTGCTGGAGACCGAGGGCTTGGGAGGGTGCAAGCTGCTGTGTGTCAGCTCCAGCCCAGGGAACGGGGGCTTCCTCTCCATCCCCACCAGATTAATAAATGCCGCTTTGATAAGACACCAGCTTAACACTTTTGGCTGTCCTAAGGAAAGAGACAAGCCAGGACGTGTCCTCTGCTCTCTCCGTGCTGCAAGGCTCCAGCTGCCCGGGCTGCCAAAAATAACCCCCCTTTTCTTCTTGAAGCACTGGCAGTTATGAATACACCGCTCGCTGAGCCCTCACTGAGACCTTGCTGCTCATTTGCCTGAGGTTCAGCTTTTCCCCAGATGCAAATGCTGTCAGATCCTGTTCCACCAAGTCAGTAATGGGGCACTTCGAGCTGGAGAGCCTCCGCTTCCCCGGGAGGACCTCCGGCAGGGACGAGTGCTGGAGGGGACTCAGTGGTGGCTGGGTCAGTGTCCCCTGGGGGAGCGTTTGGCACTGGAGAGGGGGGACACGAGCCTTGGCAAGGGGGA